CCCATTTCTAGTAGCAGTGGATGGATAGGCAAATACCAATTATTAAAATATTTCTGATACAGTACATCCTGTGATAGGTTAGATAACAGAAATCCCTTTGGGGTAATCCTCTGCTTTGCTGATCAAACCACTAACACCCACCTTCCTGCCCTCTGGGACCAACGGCACTATTTTAGGGATATTTTAAGAGGAATAAGGGATCTTTCGGAAAAAGCTTTATTTTCCGAAAGATCCCCATCTAGACTGGCGCTTTATTCCGGCAAAGCCCCGAGCCAGAAAAAAGCAGCAGCCATGTTTATTCAAATGAAGCGGGGTGGATTTAAATCCCCGCTTCATTAGCAATTGCTATACGTCTAATTTGCATCCCTTTTACGGAAAAGGGATTCAGTCTAGACACAGCCTTAGAGTTCTAGTTTGGATGTATAGGACAAACTCAACCTTTCACAGATGGTTGGTTTAAACACAATCATTAAGTATCTGAAGTATCACTAATGGTCCTCATTAGCACAGTAAGAATTATAAACAGATTTATACTTCATACTTCTAACTTCACATACAAGAATGATCCATGCACAAAGAGAGGATATACACATTCAGCAGATTGTAACATTAAAAGGATATGTCACATGAGGTATTTTATCTAAAGCATCTTTGAGTTATGCATATTTATATTCATAAGCCAATTTTCATAAAGCATGGGGGGCCATGACACATCTTCTTTGTGTAACATAACAAATAGCCCATTTAGTTTCCTGTTGTGTAATTATTTTATGTAACTGATGATTCTTGTGATCTTTCCATTTTCAAGTTAGCTACACCTTACTATGTCTGAAGATCCCAATGATAAATTATATTCTCATGCATCTATGGTAAAGTACATATCCTTAAGCTAAAGATTTGGATATCAAAGAATTATTAAAAAACCATAGCAGATAATTATCTGTTTATGGGAGTTGTTTATCTCAGGATTATATTGGCTAGTTTCTTTATCTGTTCTTGTATACTATGGGGTAAATAATTATCCCACTGCTTCACACTCCCGCAAACTATTTGAAGGATGAATCTGAGCTGATGTTTTTTAAAGTTCTACAAATAATAATTCACTGCCACAAACTTCTCCATTAAGCATACTATTCTCTTTATAAAGTATATACTGCAGACTTTATTCTAGGAAACCTCCAAGAAGTGCAGCAGATCCAACGGAATGTAGAAGGTCCAAAGGCCCTTCTTTAGTGGGAGTAGGAACAAAATGAGGTAGCCTTGGAATCTGGGAGAAGCTGAAGAACCCAGGGGAACTGAGTTGCAGAAGATAGTAGAGAGAAATATTTTTGAAAAATGAAGAGTTTTAAAAATTGTTTTTCTAAGAGGTTTGTTGGGGATCATTATAAAAGACCACGATTGCAGCCTTCATTATGGATAGAAGAGCAATCCCTCCAATACATAGTTCAAAGATGTTAAACAAAAAGAAGCTAAATCCAAAATGTATCTTTTTCCAAAGTTTCCTATAGCCCCAAAAGACTTTAATTTGTTGAATAATTCATGCATTATAGACCATGTGTATAACATATTTCTGACTCATACGAGTTTATAATTTAATGTTTAATACAATGCCTCTTGGACTATAATTTCAGCTAAAAGCTATAATTTTAGTTAATTTTCCCAGGAGGGTCACTTGCTTCCCAATGTATAACTAATATATATTTAAATAGCATTTAGCTTCTTATAACCCCATCTGAAATTCTAGAAGTTAAGGTTATCATCTGTGTAAACTCACTATCCAGTTATCTGGCATTACTCATTTCGATTGTCTAGTTTCCACTCACCACATCATATTATTTGCATGGAACATAATTTATGAGTCTGAATCAGATCTCCAAATGGTTTTATAGTGGACATTGTTGGTATTGCTCTGGTAAACCAGAAGTAACTACTTCTAAGTCAAATCAGAATCACATGAACAAGTTTCAAGTTAGTGTAATTACAATAACAAGATTTGGACATTTCTATCACTGGAATCAAAGCAGGATCACAGTAACTAGAAACAGAAAATCTGATTTAGACTCTGACCTATATCTTCAATAGACTATGTGTCAGCTATCAAATAGATGATATATTTAATTATAAATTCATATGTGGGCCAAAAATATTTGCAACTAACTAACACATCAGTACCATGGTTTTATGAGCCTTGCAGAGGACAAATGGTCATTTAGTTATCCCCATAAGGCTAATTTAGGAAATAAATATATTAATTTATTTAGGGGGCTTTGCGATAAGCCTGACCTGGCTATCAGAACAAGAAACCTCTGTTAGCTCTTTTGCATGTCTTGGATTCTGTTCACTCCAAATTGATAGATACAAAAAGGAGTTAGGAACTATTTATAAAAAGACTATATTGAAACTTCATTAGGTTCTCGTAAATACTCACCAACAGAGAATACTGGATTTAACAGGTCATTGTCTATGCCCTAGCGAGAAGCAGATTGTCATGGTTGCTAAGGGTAACCCTCAGTCTGAAGCCTGTGGACAGGCCAAAATGGAACAGCTGTGCAATGCAGAGCTCACACTGAGTGTGAAATATATGGTGACCGTACATTGACTAAATTTAAACAGAGAGGGCTATGTACTTCCCACCATGCTCAGCCCCAGCACTTAATTTGTATTTATAGCTGGCTTCTCTGCCATCTGTGCTTGCTGGCCTTCTCAGCATCTCAAAGGAATTGGAGTGGCATTGTTTGAAGATCTGATTAAATAGCCAGGAAAAAGTAATCCATCATTTATAAAGGGAAATGGAGACAGTTACAATAGTATCCCATGGCTCTTTAGGATTTTGTCTTCCATTTTCTCTTACTTTCATTCTAATCCAATGCCAAACATGCTAAACACTGACCAAAAGTACAAAATTTACTGACAGCATTCGAACATCTAGGTGGAAACAGTAATGAATTATCCCTTTTCCTTTACACTGATCCTATTGAGAAATTAAACTACATTATAATGCAAGATGGCCCCATTTCTCCAGGGTTGCAGCTGTCTAAATATATTCCAGAAGCAGGAGCTAAATGCAGGAATCAGCTTTAAAACTTAACCACCCCCATTAAAAACCCTCTATCCTGCCATTATGAGGATTAATAGAGATGAAGTTGTTTTGGGGCACTATTATATTGCTCTGGTCCCAGCTGCCCATGTGAAATACCGGTGGGGTTATGTGCTATGAATAGTTATTGTGCCAACGTCTTGTCTTTCAGCACCTTCTTATAGTCATGTTTCTCCCAAAGGAAAGGTAACACTGGTGCCACTGCACAGAGGGAGAGAAACACTCAGCTGGTTTGATTCTTCACTGTGCAGGTGAAGAGTGACAAGTGCATAAAGGCAACATAAAAAGTGATGAGCTATCCAGGGAGCACAAGTGTAGCTTGATCCTGCTGTGCAGCCATTCTGTCCATTAATAGCTGTGAGTTAGGCCCAAGAGGAAAGTTGCACAGGGAAGCCTCTTATTAGCACAATGAAGATGAATGTCATGCCTCTGTTCGGGGTTCCCATTCAGCAATATCCTTGCATGGCTGGACCCCCTGCTAGCAGGGCATAGTGCACAGCAAGGGGCTTACTGCTAAAGGGAGGTGGCTGGGGGAGAGGTTCTGGGAAGGGCTCTGTTGCTTTCCCAGGTGCTATTCATATTTTGTTCTGGATATGGGGTTGTTGGTGAAAGCATGAGTGTATGGAGGGATTGGATAGCAAGGGAATGGGGTGAAACAAACTGCTAAGAGGTTTAAAATGTAAGCTCTGGCAGTCATTCATCCTGGATTCAGGAAAAACAAAGAGCAAATATTGTCCCTGTTCCTCTTTTTTGCTTATCATGTGTACTTGTTTGTAAGGGAGTTGTAAGTCTCAGATCCCTGCAATAGTAACTACTTGGTGAGAAGCACTGTACAGAGCAGTTAACCTTAGTCATGCCCACATAGAGCTACTGCTTGCATTTTGCATTATAGTGCAACCATCTGGCATATCACTGCCCAAAGGACAAACGTCCACAGTATCAAAGCCTTTCTGGAAATCAATGGCCTTTAATAACATAATGCAGTTTTACTAAAGTCTTCCACATTAATGGTCTAAAACACTATTGCAGACAGACGTTCTATAGGAGAGTTATGGATCATTATTGGGGAACACCTGTTTTTCAAATGACAGCATAGTTTAAATAACACTTTACGATTTTAAAATGATTCTGTGTGTGCACTTTTCAAAGCAAGTTCTATAGCAGGTGCTATGAAATAAGTCAAGCGAGATGGTCAAAATGGTCCCTAATGACTTTAAAATCTATCAGTGACTATGAACTACCAACTTTCTACTTTTTCCAGTCCAGGTTAGGGTGTGAACAAAGTTTGACTACATTTACACTACATACTAGGAGTGTGAGTCCTTCCCAGTTTGCAATGACATCACTCTGCTAGCTCTCATCAAGACTGCATGCTAAAAATAGCAGCATAGTTGCGACTGCCTGAGCAGTCACCCAAAATATGTACCCAGGGGGTCCGGGTGGGCTTGAACTGGGGACCTCTACTCCTTGCCACTACTAATCACTTGTTATACTACTGCAGCTGCACAATTATTTTTAGCACACTAACTCAATGAGAGCTAGCGTCAATATCTCTGTGTGGGCTAGAAATGACATCCCTAGCTCCAAGTGTAAACGTAGGTAAGATTTCTGAACATTCACTTCTTACAGCTTAATTAACAAATACAATAGAACCCAGTTCAAGTAAACAGTTATCCTACAGAACACAGAAAGCCTATTAAAGGCATTTATATGTATTTTGCCTTACCTGGTTTAAAATGAACAGTTTTATGTATTTAAGTTTACCATTCCATACAGAAACAAACTCCACCAGTTTTGGCACAAGAAAGGACAGCTTATAATACCCATTACATTATTTGAGTGCCACAAAAATATACTTTTCTTCTCATTGTACAAGAAATATCAGTGCTAAATTTCACGTACCTCTTCTCCTATAACAAATATTCTGAGTGCTCAATGTGAAGCCAAATAGTTTTTTTTTCTCTATTCCATATAGGCTTTTTACCTTCCATCCCGCTAACCCCCCTGGCCCTTTATCCCCAGCTTCTTCTCATATATCAGCAAGATGAACCCAGGGGTTGAATGGGAAGACATTGTCTTTGATTTTTCATGCAGAGATTCTGACCTCTGGTGTCACTTCTGGGATGCACCCAGCATCTGTAATTGTCCCAATAACAGAGCATCTCAAGGTTACACCAAGACAGACATGCATCTCCCCTAGTACTAAGAAGGAACAGGCTATTATAAGTTAAGCTATGCAACAAATATTTTTAACATGACTGAGAATAAAGGAGTGGGGGAGAGGGATTGAAATAGTAGCTGCCAAACTAGGATTTATGCTAATTGTATTAATTAATGATATGATTTTCTGTGTCCTTTGTAGCTTACCCGGCTCAGGGATGATTAGCTGTGCACTGGACTGTGCATTCCCAGCATCATTTTCAGCTACACACTGGTAAAAACCTTCATCTGACTTTACAAGGCCCAGGATCCGCAAGTTGCTGCCCCCCTAGAGAGACAAAGTGGGGAGGGAAGAGGAGGAAAATAATTAAACAAAACTGTCAAATTGAATGTCACTTACTAAGGAGCTTCAACAATATTTTATTTGTGAAACAAGAGCAGAAATTATTAAGGAAACCTTAGCGTGCATTCACGTTGTCTTTGTCTCCAGTGGAATGTAACAAAAGGCACATTCATCAGGAATGAACTGCACAGCTCTCTTGCAAGGATGGTACTTGTGCTATTAGGGTGAAATTCACATTGCTACAGAGGAGGGCCAGCCCAACCCCCTATGCAACAGTTAAATGCTATACAGGTTGAACCTCCCTAGTCTGGCACTCTCTGGTTGGGCATCTTCTATGGTCTAGCATGATTTTAGTTAGCTGGATGTCCACTGATCATGGCCAAGTTTCCCATGGACCCAAACATTTTGTTTACAGCCACCAGTCCTGGTTCTCAATGTTCTGAGCAATTATTTAGCACAAATTTACCCCCACATGTCTTCTAAGAGCTTAGGAAGCAGTGGAAGTGTTGGTAATGCTCCTAGACAACTGACCCCCAAGATCTAACAAATTCTCTAATTTGGCACTGGTCGGGTGTTGGTCTAGGTAGGTTCAATCTGTATGAAAATCTAAAGTGAGACTTAAGTGATGAATATGGCTTTGAATTGGCTCTTTGCACAGAGGAGATATAAAAAATCCAACTTGTTGTACCTTCTGTATGAACAGTATTCTGAAGGCCAGATTTGACACCATAATATGAGACCCAAATAGCTGAAGCAAGAGAAAAGTCGTTCAGTGTTTGCTGCTGGTGGGCAGGATTTTTATTTTTAACTGCTACTAGAACAAGCAGAATTAACATGGCAAACTCTAGAGTCTATGAGACAATTCTTTGCATAAGAAAATAGTATAGGAGCAATTCCACTGCTCTAAACATTTCTTCAGGAACTAAAAATTGAAAGGATAATTCCCTTCCACATTACAATAATAATAAAGGGACTTTCCATTCCTCAGCAAGTACACTTATTGAGGTCTGATCTTACTCACAACAAACAATGATGTCAAATAAACTAGCATGAATTTATTTAAGGGGGGACATGATAGCGGTTTTCAAATATCTAAAAGGGTGTCACAAGGAGGAAGGAGAAAATTTGTTCCTCTTGGTTTCTGAGGACAGGACAAGGAGTAATGGGCTTAAAGTGCAGCAGGGGAGGTTTAGATTGGACATTAGGAAAAAATTCCTAACTGTCAGGGTGGTCAAATATTGGAATAAATTGCCAAGGGAGGTGGTGGAATCTCCCTCTCTGGAGATATTTAAGAACAGGTTAGATAGACATCTGTCAGGGATGGTGTAGACGGAGCTTGGTCCTGCCTTGAGGGCGGGGGGCTGGACTCGATGACCTCTTGAGGTCCCTTCCAGTCCTATGATTCTATGATTCTATGTTTCCATATATTCGTATACGGGTAAATCTTTTCCACAACAGAAATATGGAAAAAAACAACCTATATTTATTAGAAGATGTTTAATTTGCATGAATGTAATCCATTTTACTGATTATAATGTTCATTCACTAGGAAACAGACACTAAATATTGCAGTCTGATCTATGAATGAGCCATGCAAACTTTCTTGTACCAAAGACATCAAAAAGAAAAATATCTCATGGCCAGTGGATATTTTTATCATGCTGCAAAAATGACAGATATATTAGTACAGGATTTTCTGCAGCACTCTGCAGTGTCTCAACTCTGCTCCCATTGAATCAATGATAAAATTTTCCTTGACTTTCATGAGAGTAGTTAGGTCAATGTCTTTGAAAATTGCTCCATCAAGATTTAACTTTTAATATCTCATATATAATGTTATTTGTGTAATAAAAGATGGGAGCATCAAATGATATCACACAGGTGCTATGGTGAAAGTATTGTGCCTATGTCCAATCACCATTATCATTTTTAATTTAACTATGTTAAAAATAGTTTCCATTTGAAGAAAGTGATGGATCATCATTGAAAATGTGTTTAAAAACTGCCTGGAAAGCGATGTAGGGAGGGAATGCCAGTCAAATGTCGTAGCAGAGGCAGAAATATCGGGTTCATTTTTAACTCTTGTGATTTCAAAGCAAATTACAAAAGGGAAGAAAACGCTGAGAAGCTGCAAGATCTGCTCAGTTCTGTTAATTCCAGGTGGCATTGTTAGTTCCCTTTAAGATCTGTATGTCTCTTATTTATGATTACCTAAAAATGTGTACAGCAGTGTGTACTTACAAAGCGGTTTTAGGATATTAAGACTTTTCCCCTTTGTCATAGTCTATTCCCATGGTTGCATTATGGCTTATAGGCTGTTTTTTCTAGCTACATTGGCATTTCCCCTTTGTTCATGCAGATGTGAGAAGCATTGCCAAACTCCATTGTAATTGTTGATCTGTTAACTTCAAATTTAAATATATTTATATTTTTAAAAGAAAGACTAAGAAGTTGTACATTTAACAGTAACTACAATAGATGATTGGCCACTCATGCATTCTTCATCTTCAGTTCCTTCCCTTTGGTTGTCATCTTCTTCTAACTTATGACTGAGTGTGTAATTTCCATGGAGCATTTTTTGTGACACTAATTGCGTCAATAATAGGTTATGATAAATAAATAAATTAAATAAATAAATAATGTGACATGGTGCTCTGGTCAATGTTCTCTGGTTCAGAAGATCCTAAACAAAAATCTAAACCATTGAATGAAAGAGTCAGGCCTGATCCAGATCCCAGTGAAATTAGTGGGAAATCATCAGTGAGCACTCTGATGCCATATCCCCTTAGTCCACAAGAAGGCAGGAGAGATTTGATCTGTTTTGCTCAGTTGTTTCCTGTGTCTGCTAAATGAGTTAAAACCCTGTTTATTAACAGAACAAGCAAATTAGAAATATAAACATATTGTAATACAAGTCAAATACTGAAATTGCAATGACAAAAGTCAGATAATTACCACTATTTGAAAATAATCACTAGGAATGACCACTTCTCCGTTCTTGATCCAATCCACGGTAGGGATAGGCTTACCAGAGACAGCACATTCAAACTCAATGTCCATTCTTTCATAGGCATAGAGGTTTGAAGGATGATTTATAAACCATGGAGGAACTGCAAGGAGAGAGATAAAAACCAAAGCAAGTTGTAAGTAGATATGAATGCACTTTTAGCAATCCAATAATTTAATATTAGACAGAAATAGGAAACATATTTGCAAAACAAATTATTTCCCCAAGCACACAGTTTGTTTTAAAAAGTAAATACCAGTAAAATAATTTATTTTAGTGAACACAGTTTAATAGGGTTTTTTGTTTGTTTGTTTGTTTGTTTGTTTGTTTAAAAATGAAAGCTTAAAAACCCAGTATGGAGAGCATATAAGATTTGGGTGAAATATACACAATAAGCACCTTAAGTAACCAAGGAGCTGATCCAAAGCTCAGTAGATCAGGTACCAAAAGCATGCACAAAAATGAAATGCATAGTAATATGCAGGGAGGTAACTTTTACCCAAGAAGACTATCAGCACAGAATGAAGTGTATTTAGTCCTGAGAAAACAGTTTCATATCAAGGAAGTGAAATTTGTGACTGTATTTACAAAATTTGAGGATTTAACTAATAAGAATGAATGGTGTCCATGATGATAGAAAGAAGAAGCAATCTGGATAATCTTTGCTGAGGACAAATTCTTATTAAAACAGCAATTATCTGTTGCCTTGTATTACTATAATGTATTCCCACTTTTGCAGTATGGTATACGATATGCTAATTTAATTTAATTTAATCATTACCATAATACTGGTATGATGGAGATTTGCAATTTGAGGAAAACTGCTAATAACATCAAATTTCTAATGAGCTCCCTGTCACACACACACACACACACAAAACACCACAATTCACGTACAGATCATCAGCTTTCACAGGGGAACAATGTTCACTGTTTTGAATATTCATAGTTGCTAGGAAGCAAGATTAGATTCATTCCTAGGTAGCATCCATGACGTCTCCTTTGAACAGAAAATACAATTGTATTTCTTAAGCAATTATTTCCGATGTCTGATTTATAATATATCTAAATCCATTAAAAGAGGGGAGAAACAAAAATTGACATGAAAAGATTGTTAAGATTGCAAAGTCAAACACTGAAGAGTTAGGTTGCTTGTGCAATTTTACTCTTTGTGCTTACACATTATGGTTCTCTCTTTAATTAAATAACCACAGGTCACCTGCTTCTTTCTGTGCACAGACTGGAGAAGACTTACTTTATTTGCTATTATTCATTATTTTGTTTTCTGCTCATTGTTCAATATGTGGTGCTATGCCTTGTTGTTATTTATTTAGTGTACACAATCCAATCAAGCCAAGCCACCATGTTATTGTCAATGATATTCTAGGCATTAAGACCTCCAGGAAATAGAGAATCATTTTGCAGTTCTCAACAACATGTGTTATAGCTTGTGGCTGCTCATATTGACATAGTGGACTCCTTAAAACACCTCCAAAATTCCGCTGCAGCCTAGTTTACTGAATACTATTCAAATCCAGGTCTCCAGACAGAATTACAAATTTCCTCAAGCACTTTTCTACAGCACTCATCACTAGAGTTTTTGAGTGCCTCAAATTAATTACTTAATGTTCATAATATTCCTGTGAGGTGAGGATAGAGTATCCCCATTTCACAGACGGCTATCCGTGAAACCCGGAAATTAAAGGTAAAAATTTGGTTTCCTGACTTACAGCATGCCTAGGATCTAATTTTTTTCAGCATATACAGCACTATTGTATTTTAAATTTTAAAACTCAAATCTGATGGACATTGTTTGAAGTTGTGAGTGCTCAGCACATCAACAAATTAAACTTCAGGGTTGTAAGTTGGCCACCCAGAAAATGAAGAACAACTGTGACCACCTGTAAAAGTTTTGCTTAAGTGACTTGTCCAAAAATCACATTGGAAATCTGTGGCAGTCAGAAATAGAATCCAATTCTCCAGGGTGACATTTAATTGTCTTAACCATGACTTAACTTTTTCTCTCTGAAATCTCCTGCCTCACTCAATACATACCTTCAACTTGTGCAACAAAAGAAGTAACATTTTACTTCTTTGTTATTCAGGAATCATATTCCTCATTCCAGGGTAATATTATCGAGGAGTTATAGACTTTTCTGCCCAGGCCCCTTCCAACCCTCAGAATCTTTCAATGCCGACTTTCCCCAAGCTATAGCAGCAAATCTTATCACACCTGATAAATTCACTACATCTAACATACCACTTTGATATAATGTATTCACAGATCCTGTCATTAAGGCATTAGATGAAAGCCACAGAGAAACACTAGTCATCATAAACATTGTAAGATATGTGTACTGATGTGGTATGTACAAAGTCGTGCATATCTAATAAAATATATTTAAAATCAGGTAATAAGGCAAAGCTTTTCTGCCTGACAAAAGCATGTCTATTTGCCTACTCCCATTTTAATGTAAATTGAGCATTATAAGCCAAACACAAGGAGAACTACATTTGCACTCCGAGTCACAGTGAGCATATGACATCACCATGGGGGTCAACACACAGGAAAGCACATAACAGAAGGGTGCTTTAAAGGTTTACTGGACTATAACTAGAGCATAACTAAAACACTTTGTTGTCCATCCCGTGAATGCTGTGGGTTGTGCATGAAACGTCAGTCCTGGTTATGACTGAAAACTAGAAGCTCCGCAACAGACTCAATTCTTGGGACAAAATATACTTTATTAAATAGGAAAGGTGACCATTAATAAGAGTAAACCAAGGATTGCATTTTGTGTTTTATTTTATATGTCTAACCATTTCTGTTATTATCTGAGGGGCCATCTAAGGATGGAACAAACTCCTGCAGCATGTCAGAACCACCACAGATCTCACCATTTTTCATTCCAAGCGCCAAACAGTCTTTAATAAAAACACACACCTGTGGACATTTTTGTTAATCTACATGATATGTTCCTCCTCACAAGAGGGAGAAAGCAACAATTACATGGGACAGATGCTTCTTTTTAAATGTACTCTTGGGCAGCCATCTGTACCCCAGTGATGGATTCAAATAGAAAATGGGTTCTTCTCTCCATCCCCCTTTTCTCCTCTTTCTAACTTCTTTAATTTTCCTATTTTTTCTGTTGTTTTCAAGATGAAACACAATTCAATCTCCCAAAATATTAGCAGGTGAATGGCAGAGATACAGGTACATGCAATACTGTAAATTGTTTTAATACACAGGATTGTTGAACAGAGAACAGAAATATCATATCAACCAGTGTATAATATAAAAAGAGCTAGTAGCATCCACCATCTTTAATTTTGTGAAAGCTTCTTAGCATCAATTTCCTGTCATGCTTACCAAAATACAGGTGTGATATTGTATAGTTGTAGATAAGGTATTTATTTTAATCCTTCACCAATTACGTAGTCATGGTGATAAATTAAACTAAACTGATTCCAAATCACAAATTCATGGCCAGAAATAAATTGACCCCAAGTCCAGAAAACTTCTATTTCTAATCTCATGCACCTCATATTCCTGAGGCAATAATATTTACTTGCTAAAAAGCAGTGAAAAATCACTTTTCAATTAATTTTAGGAACACTGAACCAGTGTTCTGAATGAATGAGGAACAAGAATCTTTTAGAACTTCCCCGTTCAAATCTGTAGTGTTGCATAAAAAAGCCTCCGCCTGAGCTTACCAGATTTATATACATGGATTTTCTAAAGCTATACCAAACTGTAAGGTCTAAGGTTTTAAACTTCAACTTATTGTGATCTTTGTCAAATTTTGTAATCTGTGTAACTCTCAGAAATTTACTGTAAGCTGCAACTTTGTAACTCTCATTCACCTTGCCTGTAACTTTCCCTAAACTGCAGATTCTCCCCTGGGTGAATGGAGAGAGAGTGTGAGTGTGAGAGTATGTTTGAAGAAGGCTTGGAACAATGGAGCACATTTCAATGAGTCATCACACTATGGGCATGCTCCCTTCTGGATAAATGGAAGTCTGGGCATGCTCTCTGCTGGATAAAAGGAAATCTGGGCATGCTTCCTGATGATGAGGTGAATGAGCCACAGGAGCCATTCAGACACTATATAAAGAAAGGAAGCACATGTAAGACTCTTTTTCCTTCCCCTGCTCCTGAGAAGCTCCTCTCCAGTGTCTTCTCCTCCTGACCAGCTTCCCCAGCCCTGATGAGCAGACAGACCCTCCAGGATACACATGCTTTGGCTCCTTCTGCAACCCATGTGTCTGTGTAAGTGTGTGAGTGCCTGAGGGCAGGAATGAATGGGCATGAATGAGTGTATGAATGGAGGGGTGTGTGTGTGTGTGTGTGTGTGTGTGTGTGTGTGTGTGTGTGAGAGAGAGAGAGAGAGAGAGAGAGAGAGAGAGAGGGAGAGAGAGAGATTCTATATTCTTTAGTTTAAACCTTACTCCTCTTTAGTTTTACCTAGTGGAAATAAACCCATACTAGTGTAACCTTGGGTGGTCTCCAATGAGAATATATTTGGGGTAACATGTAGAAAGGGACCAAGATGAGGGAGAGCCACAAGGCTGCTCTCAAGAATAATTCTGGAGAGCTTTTCTAATTATACCAGCAAATAGTCTTGTACAACCGAGTTGTAACAATATGACTTTTCTGTAGCCATGTTGGAAGGCCTGTGCTAGGCCTGAACCAAAGACGCCTGCTGTAGCCAGACTGAAGAGTAGCAGCCATTACTGTAAGGCCTGGAGTCACATACTCACAGTTCCATCTAAATTGTATTACAAAGTGTCACACCAGGCTGTGAGGAGGGACTTTGTTCTGATAGCTCCCCCACTGTCACCAGATAAAGAAATAGATCTCTAGATGGGTAAAGAAATTTGTGCGTAACACCATTCTGTCTGGCAAGAAACAACTTATCAATAGAGGACGTTGTGGAATCCTCATCCTACGAGGATTGTCACTATACTTTCCTACTGTTTGACTGTGTGATCTCTGTCTGGTTTGTAACTGTTTCTGTCTGCAGTATACAGGCAGTCCCTGACTTACACGGATTCGACTTACGTCGGATCCGCAGTTACGAACGGGGCTCGCCCCGGAGGACA